TGTACTTATTATTAATTTTGCAATCCTGTTTATTTGTTTCGAAGCCGCCATCATAGGTAATCTTAACGCCATCTCTGCTATTAATGCGTAGGTGGGTGATAACTCCATTGATATCCCAGAGGCAAATGTCATCATTCAAATATCATCTCATGCTGGTTCCCGGCGTCAAGAAGCTCAACGGTTGGGACGTATTCTCAGGGCAAAGGTAATGTAGATTGAAGCTTGCGGGGTTGCTGCATGCAGCGTAATAGACAAACCAGTTGCAATTTTGCTGTGTTCCTTCTCTTGATATTCAAAATTTTAAAAAGGGCAGCCCGGTGCATGTAGCTCCCGCTTGCGCAGGGTCCGGGGAAGGTCCGACCATATTCAAAATTTAGCATGGATTTTTTTATGTTTCGGATACATCGATAATTTGGATGTATATGCTGCAAGTGAGTTTCCATTAAAAAAAGACCGAAAATGAGTTGGTATGAAGAACAAAAATCTTGAATCAAAATTGATTATGCAAAAGGAAACAATTTTATTTCTATATAACTTGCTTTTCAAACTACTGTATGTGGTAATTCATTTCTAGATTTTTTTTAGTGTAAGTAAATTATTATTACTCCAACTCTGGCTTTTGAGGTGGTCGTGCAAGGGATTTCAGTAGTCTGGATGTGAGTTATGCCAGTGATGTGGCCAATCAGATGGGCAGAAGTGATCTATAATAGTTAGTGATACAATGTTTTCTATGGCATTTCCACTGAATCTGTTTCAACTACTGTGGCTGCAGGGTAAGCATCAAGATAGGATGGCAGGTGGAAAAGAAGAATACAATGCCTTTTTCTATTCTCTTGTATCAACTGACACACAGGTTTGTCTCACTAATGTTTACTGTATTAGTTTTTCATTTGGCTTTATTCCATTTCCTGATATTCTTGAAATGGAGAATGCTGAAACCATGCCTGTGGAATTTAGATCAACTTTAGCATATGACATATTTTTTTATGCAGGAAATGTATTATTCAACAAAAAGGCAACAATTCCTTATCGATCAGGGATATAGTTTCAAGGTTTATTCCCAAGCATTTCTCTAGATATTGGGAATCTTTTTGACACTTCGGGTTTAGTGATAAATATATATATATATATATATTTCCAGGTCATCACTAGCTTGCCGCCACCTGAAGAAGGACCTAACCTGAGTTTTCACACGCTCGATGAACAGCTTGACCTTTTAGGCAAAGTGAGTGTTTTCTATACCCATTGTTTGTCAGTTTCTTGCTGTTTGTACCTGACTGCAATTTCTGTCTGCACTACGTCAAACAGGTGTTGAGCGCAGGGGATGACATGATTGGTGTTGAGCACTTGGAAGAGGATTCTGATGGCAAGGCTCTCCTGAAGGCTCGGCGCTCTGCTGGATTGATGAGCGCATTTTCTGGAGCGGGTGGAATGGTCTACATGGAGTACAAGTGCTGCCTTCTCTCCACTTCCATTTTACTTTCGTCTCTATGCTGCGATTCCATTGCAGTAGTTCGTTTGCTGAATGCTTACATGTGAGTCTTACCTTCTCATCCAGCACTGGAAAGGGCAAGGGAGCCAAGAAGAAGGACCCGGCTAAGAGGCATACACTGTTTAAGAAACGCTATACATAGAGTTCTGCTGCATGTCATTTGCAACGAAGCCAGGAACCTATAGGGTGTGATTTGCTTTGCTGGGACATGGTATGGTTCAAGGGGCCCTTTTCATTGGACATAAAGCGCGTGATCCACAAGTCCTCGTCGTTAGTGAGTACTACCAGGAAGGGAGCAATTTTGGTCTCTGCTGCTTCGTTATGATCATCTCCAGTTTCTTAACAGAAGGGTCAATTTTGGAGCTTATGAGAAGGAGAACGAGGACATTTATCTTTCATGGAAATGTAAATATTTGTGCAAGTGCCTGTATAACCAAAATCCACATTGCGAAGCATGTGATGAACATATTGTTTCATTGTATACAATTGTGACTCACGCTTGCTCTACCAGTTAAACAATCGGGAAAAGTACCAATGCTTCCTCCATTTACTCCCACCGTCCCACAATATAGGATCGTTTTTCAAGCTATGTTAGTTTTCAAACGATCTTATATGGAGGGAGCATGTGTTTTCAAACGGGTTGGCACAATTCGTTGTTGCTGAAACAGTGTTTGCAGGTTCCTTATTTTTTGGTCATTATAAGCTTTATTTATATGATGGCCCAAGTCGACAAATACGATCTCTTTCATTTGAGTTGAGAAATGTGGCTACCAGGCTTGCATTTTGTTTTACAAATGACGATATAAAAGCAGCCATGATGATATATCTCAAGCATGGTACTACGTAGAGTAGTGATCTTTAGAATTCTCTTGGCAGGATTGTGTATTAACAGTTGGAAAACGTGAGGTGTTTGTACAAATATAAGAGTGTTTAACGATCTTATATTATGGGATGAATATAAGAGTGTTAAAACGCTGTTATATTATCGGACGGAGGGAGTATAATGGTAAGGAAACTATCCAAATCTAAGAGTGAATTATAATAATGGACATTGTTGTCGAATTGCGACATTTCATCAAGCACTTCGAGGGGTGTAGCAGCCGATGATGCGACGTTAGGACGCAGACGGGGTGAGGAGCTGACGTTGAGGTTTCGGATGGTGCCACTAACAACCACAATGCAGTGCGGGAGCAAAATGGTCTTGACGGCGAGACATAGTGAGTGGGCGGCAATGGGGCAAGAGACGAGGCGAGGCGCGTGGGAGTAGTGCGGCAGTGGTGGGAAGTGGAGGGACGTGAGGCAAGCGACGATGGTGCATGATCCCACACGGTAGGATCCGAAGTGGTGAGGTGACCATGAGGCATGAGGCATGGAGGGTAGTGGATGGCCGACAACGGGGGCATAGTGGCGAGCAAAAACGAGGCTGTGAGGGGAGAGAAAGGAGGCGGGCGACGGTTGGGGAAGTGAAAATTTTCAATTGCCCTATTCTTGTGGTATTGGTGCGGGAGAGAAATTCCCTTGCAAATAGGATGGTAGGAGTTAAAAGAGTTACGTGAATTGTTTGGTTTTACCCCATGCTCACCCCATCAAAACTTGGGTACGCCAGAAAATTGGCGGCCGATATCCCCGTCCGCGATTCGCCATGAATTGGGGTCAAATAAATGAAAATAGTTAAGGTAGGATTGCACTGTGAAAAGTTGAAGCCCATCCAAACAACCACCTAAATCTTAGTCAACACCAATATATTGGCAGGGTGATGAGGACTTTGATCCAAACAACCTCATAGAGAAAGGATTGAATGTTTTTTTACTCATTGTATTTTTCCAACCCTTCTAAAAGTTATAAGATTTTAGGAGAACATTAAACACCCACGAGAGGTCATGGATCAAAATGATGTTGTGGCTTAGCCAATATTCACATACCACGTGTATGGACTGAGATTCGCTGCCGTAACTGCATGTGCCTTTGGGCCACTGATAAGTGGGTCCAACAGTCGGCTGGCCCACATGTCACTGACCTAAAGGCATGTGCGGTTAAGTCACTGAAGCAACGTCCCACGTGCATGCTTGTGGATGTGTGAGTATATAGCACATAGAGGATTGCACAGACCACTAATTGTTAGGGTTGATTTTGTGTAGAACACTCACTCTATGGGTTTGCTGCATAAAACATGATCTATTAGTGCAACTCATTATAACTAGCTCTAATCCATAGTTTGGTTCGGTTGACATGATTCTTGATTGGTTGTTCGGCTTCACACATGGTAAAAATATATTCATGACATGATTCTTGAACGAGCTAGCTAAAAGAAACCCAGAGCCTCTTTGATATGTAGGATTTTAAAAGCGCGAGAATAGGAAAAAACACAAGGGCTTCTTTGATTCGAAGGATTCTGAAAATACATGAATAGAAAAGGTATAAGATTGAAGTAATATATCCACTTAAAATCAAGGATTAGCAAGAAGTGTCTGATGTCATTGGATAAACAAAGAAATTATAAAAAAGGTTGGAGAGGATGTTAGATTTTCTATGAAATATAGTACAAAAGATTTTATAGGAAAAATTCCTATGAAATCCAATGTTATGAATCAAGGGACCAACATAAGAAAGATTCCTAAGAATTATGGTCCTCCAAAAATTCTATAAAATTCCTTTGATAAAATGTCATGCCTCATCTCAATCACACATGATTTTGGGTTGTTTGATTGCATCATAGAAAAAAAACAAATGATTCCTTGAAGATGTTTGGGTGTATGCTAGAAATCTTATGGAAAATAGTAAAAAAAACCGTTAGAAATGAATCTTATATGATTCAATCCTACTAATCAAACAAATCAATATAGAAAAAAAATCCTAAAGATTACATTCCTCCAAAATTTATACAAAAGTTCTTTGAATCAAATGAGCCCTAAACATCTTTCAAATTTGTCAAGCAACCCAATATCTTCCCTGTGCATTTACAAAATGGGACCCATTTGTTAGAAGTCATGTCAGTGGAGCGAACGACAGATTAAAGCTACCTGCAACGAATCACATCAACGTTGGTGTTTCGTGCAACAAACTCTTAATAGTCGGTTTTTTCTAGTAGTAGAATTTTACCGTGTAGCGCTTGCTTCTTGCACGCGTTGTCTTATGTTTTGTAAAATTTATAAATCGGATGTCACAGAGAAAAAAAACCAACAAAAAATATAAACTCCACACACGCGCATGCCTGGCCGCAGCGGCTGCACCACCCAATCTGAGCCGCACGTCCAAGTGCTGCAGACCCCGTCTCGTCCGTCTCGTGCTTGCGAGGCTGTTGTGACCTGCGAGGCAGCCCAGAGCCCGGCGCAAATCGCAACCTTATTTTTCCTCTCCCCTCCCTCTCGCCTCGCCCCCCCAGCCGCGATCGAGGAGGCGAAACTAATATCCGCACCAGGAATCAAGAGGGGATCGACCTCCCCCCAGTCCGCACCTCCGCCCTGAATCCCCTGCCGCCGGTTCGCCGCCGCCGCCGCCACCGCTCCCGATGGATTTGGATCTGTGGATCTCCAAGGTCAAGGAGGGCCAGCACCTCGCCGAGCACGAGCTCCAGACCCTCTGCGAATACGTGAGCTTCCTCCCCCTCTTTATTTATCACTTCCGCTAGGGTTTTGTTCGCGCGGCGTTGTGGCGCGCGCGTGCGCTGCGGCGTGGCCGTGTTAGGGTTCGTACCAGCAGTAGCAGGTAGACGGGCAAAATTAGTTGCTTTTGCTGCTCGCCGAGAGACTTGAGTGAACCGTGTATGTATTCGTGGGTGTGTCTGTATGCCTAGTGTGTAACCGATGTGTATTTCGCTGATCATCATCCAGGTTAAGGAGATTCTCATCGAGGAGTCGAACGTGCAGCCAGTCAACAGCCCGGTCACAGTGTGCGGCGACATCCATGGGCAGTTCCATGACCTTATGAAGCTCTTTGCCACCGGAGGACATGTGCCTGAGACCAACTATATTTTCATGGTCTGGCTTCCTCAGCCCTTCTATTGTTTCTTGTGACTGGTTTAGGTAGCCTCTGATGTTCTTGTGTTGCTTAACTGAGCTGTGATTGACTCGTAGGGTGATTTTGTCGACCGCGGCTTCAACAGTCTCGAGGTTTTCACCATCCTTTTGCTACTAAAAGCAAGGTATTTGGTTAGTTTTTCTGTTCGCAGATAATGAATCGTCCTTTTGTTTGTTCCAAAGCTTTAAACTTTATACCGTATAGCTGCGCCTTCAGCTTCTTCACTCTTTTCTGAGTATAAACTTCATTATCATATCACCGTACCTTTTGGTTAACAATAATACTACATGATAGTGATACACGAATAACCAGATCATGAGTAGGTCACCCCAAAAAGGCAAAAAGGATTGTCAATAGGCATTCCTTAGATGGAATTAAGCTGTTGAATGGTAATGTCTGATTGCTGCTTGATAGTATGTCAAATTCTGTTGTCTCTTCATAACTGACTTTTCCCCTTGTATTTGCTGGATAATACCACGAGTAACCTATGGGGTCGATGGGGTTGATTTAGCTTATTGTTTTTCATGAAACTAGAAGTGTGTAATCTTTTATGGTTCTTGTACAATCATACAAAGATCAGGAGTTGAGCCGAGTTAGACTGGGATGACCTTGCACTGCACAATCCAGCTATGGATTGAACTCGAATTTGGAAGCTGCCAGCTGAAATTTGAAGTTGAAACTCGTCTATATTTTTACTATTTGAACATAGGGCTGTCAACGACTGAGTTTGAGCGAATAGCCGAATACACCCACACTTTCCTCAAGCTCGATTTGCATCTCAAGCCATTTGGTGAGCGGGAGCTTCTGCTCACCTCATGAGCACAGGGATGAGCTCAAGCTCAATTCGTTGGAAGGCTCGACAAACTCGCAAAGCTTGTTAATATTTTTTAATTAAAAGTCCGGCCAGTGCATCTTATCAGGCTGCAAAAAGCTTCTTTATCTGAGGAGGATAGGCCCGTGAGATGTCCAGACTTGTGTATAGTGAAATGGATCAATGAGTTGCTGTCATGGGTTAGAAAATTAAGAGGGACAGGTCTAGGATGATGCTTGGGTCCTATAGTTATTTTCTTCGAAAATGAGCTAGGTTGTGTTGCTCTACCAAGCTTTAGCGAACTGTTCGATCTGGAGCTAGTTGGGCTCACATGCTTGAGACTGGGCTTGTGCTTGTCTTACTTAGCTCTCGAGCGGAGCTTTATTCAAGCCCAAACAGTTTGGACAGCCTTACTTAAACTGCAAGATTGAAAATAAAGATTGCATCTCACCATTTTTTGTGATGAACTGCTAAAAAGCACGGATACAGCGACACGGACACGGTGACACGCATACGGGGACACGAGATACAGCATTTTCCAAAAACAACCCATCGGGGACACGGCAAGTATATATAAAGATAAATAAATGTATGCCATGTAATATAGAGTTAAAGACAAAAAAATGAGAAAGAGATAATGCCCCATTTGTTGTCTCCTGTTTCAAGTGCTTGATTGATCATCCAGAGTTCCAGACCAGATCCATGTCATTGCAACTTGCAAAACACATCAAACAATAGTCTAGTACTCCTCCGTCTGAAAAAGCTTGTCCCAAGCTTGTCCCTCAAATGGATGTATCTAGCACTAACTTGGTGCTAGATACAACCATTTGAGGGACAAGCTTTTTCGGACGGAGGGAGTTACAACAACAACAACAACAACAACAGCAACAACAAAGCCTTTAGTCCCAAACAAGTTGGGGAAGGCTAGAGGTGAAACCCATAAGATCTCGCGACCAACTCAGGGTTCTGGCACATGGATAGCAAGCTTCCACACACCCCTGTCCATAGCTAGTTCTTTCGTGATCTTTTGGGTTTCATCTCCACAAGAGTGGCTGAGTTTTTACGTTGGCTCGCCAAGCCTATCCGGGAGGGACCGGCTATGTTGAGACAACATAAGCGGAGTTAAAACAATAGTCTGGTATTAGTGTCATAATAATCTGAAGTGGTACTGGTACTTGACAAACAGCAAAGAAGTTTGCTTACCCAATCTGCAATGCTAGCTCCCAATAGCATTATGGTTTGGCAATCCCTAACATGAAGCACCAAGCATTCAATCAACAGTTCAAGCAGCATCAGCAATAAGCAAGCAGCAGAAGTAAGCAAGCAGCAGCAGCACTAATAAGCAAGCAGCAGCAGCACATGAACAGCATAGGGAAGCTACTGGCGAGCAGCAACAGCAAGGGCATGGCGGACAGGGGCAGTAAGCAGCAGCAGCTCAACAACAAATCGATTTGAATAGATGAAAAAGGGCGAGGTTACCTGCTCCAGCTTGGTTGCCGTTGGGAGGAGAGGCCGCTCCACTTGGGGGGCAGTGGCGGTCGAGTCCAGGCAGCGGCGTCGAGTCCAGGAGGTGGGAAACCCTACTTTGTGGCATCGACTGGTCCAGGAGGTTTCCCAGCTTACCCTTTTGTGGCGCCTGTTTATGTGACCTGCAAAAAAAGGGTGGGCCGAGGAATAGTAGTTGGGCCTCCCGAGTCCCACACGTGTCCCAGCCGTGTCCTCCTTTTTTTTTTAAATTCGTATTACAGGAAATCAGCGGGATACGCGTGTCCGGCCGTGTCTTAGCGTGGCCCCGTGTCCCCGTGTCCAGCCGTATCTGCACGGCGATTCGGCAAGTTTGGCCGTGTCCGTGCTTTGTAGGTGAACTGTATCAGTCTTAATTAGTGAAACAATGACCACACCTGTTAGTGTTGGTTGCTTCTTTTCAGTAAGAATTCTTACTGTATTACATTTTTCCTGAAGTGTCATCATATATGGCTAACTCTCAATGTAATTTCCTACTACCAGGTATCCTGCCCACATAACCCTTCTGCGTGGGAACCATGAAAGTAGGCAGCTGACACAGGTATGTCCTGATATGGAGAATGGTATATGTTATCCTGTTGAACATTTAGGATTTGAGATACTTCTGCTTCAATTAACTTTGTTGTAGTTCAATCTGTATTCGCTCATGATTTTCATATTGTACTATCTCCCGTTGCCAAAAGATCTTGTAGTTAGTGAAGTTACATTTGTTGCTTTCGCATTAAAATGCATCCTGCACTGAAAAGCAGTAGATGTTGATTGATTCTGGACGAAATGATAACACTTTCGTTGAAGTTAAAACAATCCAGCTACTAAGCGATGATTTGAAAACCTACATTTCATGCTAATGATTCTGTTTGGCAAGTTGAACAGTCTCTCTTTCACATGGCATGTTAGGACTGTATAGTAATTGTGTACATAATTGCCTGGGCCCCTTGGAGCCATCGGAATCATTGTTTTTCAATGTTGCTGCCCCAGCGTGGCTGCTGCCTTGTTGCTTGCCGAAGAGGAGGCACAGCTTTGGGGAGTGGCTGGGACTCGAGAGCTTTCCCTTGTGAGCGCCCTAGCGCCCAGGGCTTTGGTTATCTGTAGTCCTTTGTTCTTTTTCAGGCACGGGTGAGTACTGTAACCTATAAAACATATGGAATGTGTGTGTGTGTACTCAGGGTTTCTACCCTTCCGTCTTCTCTAATATAATGGCATATATCTCCTGCGTATTCGAGAAAAAACAATAATTACAGCTTGAACGCGTTGTATGGTACCACAAACAGGTCAATACGTATCATTCAGTACTTCTTTTATCATGCAGGCAAACTAATATAATGTTACTGATCTGTAGGTATATGGCTTCTATGACGAGTGCCAGAGGAAGTATGGGAATGCCAATGCATGGCGGTATTGCACCGATGTTTTTGATTACCTTACTCTTTCAGCAATCATTAATGGCACGGTAAGTTCCTTGTATTTGATAATTTCTAGATTATGAATTCATACTTTGTGCTCAGTCATACTAAATGATGTAGTGAAAATTCAGGTCCTTTGTGTTCACGGTGGCCTGTCTCCTGATGTACGTACTGTTGACCAGGTTAGTTGGACTTCTTTTCTTCCGTAATTTTTTCTTAACATCATTCAGCCAATATGTTACTTATGGTTTGAATGAGAATTTTGACCCATCTTACTGTCTGTTTTACCTAACGGATATAGAAATATGTGGTGCTTGGTTTACAGAATAAATTAGGTTTCCTGATTCATATAGACGTACCACACCTGGTTTATACAACTATTTAATGGCCTGATTCCAATTATAAAGAAGTTCACACTGTTAACTCTGTATATCTTTAATTTGATAAGAAGATAATCTTGATGTTTACCTTGCCGCTAGCCAGGTGCAGATCAGTGGCTGGTGCGTAAAAGCCCATTAGGTGGGTCTAGGCGGGTAATAGGACAAAAGGGTGCCGCTGAATGCCTATGTAGCTACTTTCAGAACACGGAATATTCTCTAGAAGTTTTCAAGGAGCTAGTAAACAATTAACATCCTTGAACATTTCAGGAAAATGTTGGACCCTTATCATCTGTCTTTTCAATAATTGTTTTATTACTGCTTTTTTTTGTTTCAATTGATTCTGTTATAGTACTTCTCTTTATTAGTTGATCCTTAGCATTTGCAGAGTTAGGCTCATGATCTTAAGGATGCATGATTCTGAGGTTGATTTGTTCTTATGTGTTTACTGTTGTTCTCATGTAATGGTGTTGCTAGGCAATACAATGGAAGCAATAATCTGATTAAATATCACTTTGTCACCAGATACGGACAATTGATCGGAATTGTGAAATTCCCCACGAAGGTCCTTTCTGTGATCTTATGTGGAGTGACCCTGAAGAGATAGAGACATGGGCTGTTAGTCCGCGTGGAGCAGGTTGGCTTTTTGGATCACGAGTGACAACAGAGGTGGGCATGGAATCTTTTCATTGAGGATCACTTTTTCATCATCTCTTAACAAATGTTGTTGGTTTATTCTCTATGCAGTTCAACCATGTGAACAATCTTGACCTAGTTTGCCGGGCTCACCAGCTGGTCCAGGAAGGCTTAAAGTACATGTTTCAGGACAAGGGTCTTGTAACTGTAAGTGTCTGTTCACATGTCGCTAATTAGTCCAGATAACCATAGCATCTTTTTTTTGGAAATTACATACTTGTTCAATAAAACCATGCTAATGATGCTCATATCATATGCCTTGCACATTTAATTTTGCAGGTGTGGTCTGCACCTAATTATTGCTACAGATGTGGCAATGTTGCTTCTATACTAAGCTTCGACGAGAACATGGTATGTTAGCGCATCTGTGGAGTGAGAGCATGGGATAATGCATACTGTCATTTCAAGCAGATCTTCATTATCAAGTCTTTACTGATTAGTGTTCACTTATTCTTTGTCAGGACCGCGACGTCAAGTTCTTCACGGAGACGGAGGAGAACAACCAGATGCGTGGCCCAAGGACTGCCGTCCCGTATTTTCTCTGACTTCAGTTGTACAATTTTAGAAGTCGCTGTTTTAAGCTGTAAGGGTTAAAAGACGAACCGGAGGTGGTTATTGTTGTAGGGTTCAGATGATAGTCCAATCTGATGCGTTTTATTTCTCGCGCTTCTTTTAACCACATGTACAATAGATCCTTGGGAGCATCATTGCTCCTGTATTCCTTCTATGACGGTGTCCAATTTTGTTTCTTTTTATTGTTTATTATTATTGTTATTGTTATACATGTTGTACGGGTGCTATTTATGTGACATATATGCATTTGACAACATACAAGTTTGGGTACGTGGCTTCGGAGTTTGTTTCACGGTTAGATTCTTGTGTGTGGAACACATGCCCTGAAGAGGTGCACACGAGTTTAGGTATTTCTTTACTTGTGAAAAGAAGAAATACAGGTAGTACATGATGTGTGGAGCATCTGTACGATGGACCACTCTTTACTTGCACTTAAAAAGGCAGGTATATGTTCTCTTTTAAAGATGAGAAGAGGTATATGTTCTGTTGAACATGTGGATGATGGCCACTCTTTATTCACACAGGCGTTCCGTCCTTTTTTATCTGCAATCAGGGACGGTCGTTGGCGTGGCGCGGCTGTTAGTCTCGATCCACCTTATCCCGATACTCGGAAGATAATGTACGCAGGGCTTGGTTCCGCCGCCGCCCACCGGCCGGCGTGGCCATGACACGGAAGAGATTTGCCTCCGACGGCGCGCGCACCGGGGTCACGGTCACGGGTCACCCCGTGGCATCGTACCAAGATGGTGACGCGTCTTCTTTTTGCAACCGTGGTGGGCGGGGCGGGGAGAAGTATATGCCTCCCCGCTGCCGAAAACAGTCGCCCACCCAGCCGATAGCCAAAGAATCTCCGGCGCAGCTTGCACGCGCGCACGAACGCGCCGAGCTTGCTGGGCTGTCGCGGGGTCGGCACCCCCGGCCGCGTCACCGCCACCCGGCACAGTATACGCTCAAACCCGAGTCGACAGCGACGGCGCCTGCGTGTCCGCCTTCAGCAATTATTTGTTATTACCCTCGGTTCGCTGCCCAGCGGAGCCTCTCCCCACTCGTTCGCGCGTCTGAACGGGACGGCGCCTACTGCTCGCGGCCTCGGATCATCGACTCGTCGTCGGACCCCGCATGACCTGGACCGGACCGGGGTGAGGCTGCTGATGAAGTGATGATGCTCGTCTCGTCCCGCTCAAGTAAATAAAGAGCGTTATCTAAAAAAAAAGGTAAATGCAGAGTGCACTGCGTGCATGACGCTGGCCATGTCTCGTCGTGCCTGCGTATCACGACGACTCGTGGTATGCGCCATGCTCCAAAGTGTTTTCTAGCTAGGTGATACTCCAAAACTAGGATTGGATTCGGAGGGGGCACCTTTCGGCAGGCTGCTGGTTTTTTTAACACTGACCTCCTGATCGTCCAGGTGGGGATGGCAGCACAAAGTTAATTTGATTAACTGCTCGCCGTGTCAGACACCCCCTGGTTGTTTAATACAGTACTACTAGTAATTACAGTGGCCTCTCACTGAAAGAGAGAATTTTAAGACGTTGTTTAATAATGGCTCCCATGTTTGACTCTTAACTGACGAACTGCAACGGATCATTTTTCCTTAACAGTGCTGGTAGCAGCAGTTCGTGCCCACTCGCAATTTTCACCAGCTTTCCATGAGACAAATCCTGTGATCCCCATACTACCAGTGTTTTTAGGGCAGACAGTGATCGGAGAGGTAAGAGTACAGTAATGCGCTCGGCTTTATTTTTGGCGCAACCATCTCAAACCAATAAATCATCTAGACTACAATCTAGATTGAAAAATCTGGACTCGGCAATGTGGTGCCGAATGTGCACTGGGCAGCAACCTTGCTGCTTTGCCGAAATTTCTGGCTGATCATCGGCGTGAGCTAACCACTAACCGACGGCGAGAATGAGAGAATGAAAGAAAGCGAAAAAAAGAAGAGAAAGAGGCCGCACAGATCGAAACGGCTCATCATCCTACTTGGCAGATCACAGCAAAACTGGAGAAAAACCAATCAGCCTAACTAACTAACAAACCCGCTACCTATCTCCTCCGGTCCTCGCGAGGGGGCGGTTGCCGCGGGGACGCCGGCGATCCGGCCCGGCCGCTGTCCTCGTCCGCCATTGTCCGCACCCGCCCCTGCCGGAGGTCCCCGAGCTCGGCGTCGGAGAAGGACGACGACCCGCCCGGCGCGAGGCGCCGCGCCGGCCGCCGCCGCCACCTCAGCCGCCAGCACCGGCGCGCGGCGCGGACGGGCGCGCGCGCCACGCAGCAGAGCACGGCCACCGGCAGGCACGCGCAGAAGACGCAGCACGAGACGGCGCACTCCGCCAGCGCCCCGTCCTGCCCGGCGTCCTCGCGCGGCGCCGCCGGCGACGCGTCGCGCCCCCGCGCGTCGTCCTCGCCGCCCCACCGCTTCCCGGCGGCCGGCTTCTTGCGCGGCCCGCCGGCGTCCGCCTCCTTCTCGGCAGCGGCGGCGTCCATTCCCGTTCTCGTCGATGGTTTCTTGTCCCTGGCTCGTGGGTTCCGTGTGAGAGATTCGAACGGGACGCGTGGGGTGGTGGTGGTGGGGGGCACGGGCGCGTCGTGGGAGGGAGGAAACTCTCTCCCTCTCGCTCAAGAAACTTTGTCTGCTCCCTCGGATTTAAATTGTGGTGCTCACGAAAGCGTCTCGTGTGGTTTCCTCTCTCTTTTCGCCATCGCTGTTGGTTACTGGTAGGAGATAAAATAAATCAAAAGGAAGCTAAGCTAGGGTAGCCACTGAGCCGACCTGGAGTCATTTCATCGATTAGGATCTTATAATCTTGAGAGATTGATTAAACTCTTGTTACGGGTCTGGGTCTTTTCTATTAAATTTGCGAACCGAAAGATGGTTAAGTGGGACAGGACAGCTGTTGGCAAGGCATCACATTCGTAGGATCAGTGCTCCTTTCTTTTGATCCAACAAAAACTGTGACGGTGTGATCGGATGGTAGTGCTCGGGATATTTTGTCTGGTAGGGCGTGCTAATCAGTCAGCCACTAAGAAACTTGGTCAAAACGCTCTAATCCGTCCAGGTCCAGGTGTACACATTAGCGATCGATTATTGTGGGACTGGACGTAGCCGCCGCACGGTGGGCGCCGGGCAGGGCACGAGACAGGACGGGAGTAGGGGTGTGGCCCGCGGTGCCCGGCACGAGGCTGTTCGCCCAGCCACCGGCGTCTCTGTCGACATTGCTGGACTGGTGGTGGCCGCCGCTCGCTTTTTATTTGGTCACTGTCACTGTCATGGATGTTGGAAATATGAGCAATTTATCATATGATTTTATTAACAGAAATAATAAATAAAGCATGACTAAAATAGCAGAGATAGAACAAGTCATGCGATCTGACAGAGTGAAGGTAAATAACATCTGTAAATATAAACTAGAATCAAACATCTCTAGAGCAGACAATAGACCAAGTTGCATATATGAAGTAGAACCTGTCATGTCTAGGGCAAAGACTAGAACAAGGAACTGTGACAGAACCTCTAACAGAAAAAAAAGAACACGTATGGGACAACAGCAGCAACAGTAGCACTGGACTTGGGATCGGTGTCCTCGGTAGCCATGTCGTCGGGGAAGTAGTCGTCGGAGTCCGGGGCGTCCGTGAGAAGAAGTCAGTAGACGCGCAGAGCGCTCCCCAAAAACCTCATCACCCTTCTCCCGTACAGGACTCAAAGAGGTGAGGTTTCGGAGGCATACTGTCCCGACCTGCGGTGCACGCCGCAAGCCGGGATGAGGAAGATCGTAGCAGCAACGCAGTGTTCAGGAACCGGTGGCGAGAGGAAGAATGAGTTCTGGTGTGTCTCTCTGAGAGAAGCGACCTCCCTTTTATAGGCGCAAGAGAAGGAGGCGAGAGGGCAGCGATGGAAGGTGAAACGAAGAGACGAAGATGAAGCGAACAACCAGCAACCGAAGGGCTGCACCGTTCGCATTCAAACTCCACTATCGCTTCAGCTTCCGTGTGACCTTTCGTATACCCGTCGTGCGTGAAAAAAATTTAGACATCGGCTCGGCTCATTCCCGCAACCCGCGTCGCGTCGCGTCGTGACGAGGCGTGGTGAGGCGGGCGACGGAGGAGGAGCGCGCGTGGATGTCCCTCATGTTCTCATGCTCATACATGTGGTGAAAGAACCTCCCTTATAAAGAGGTCCAACTCTCTCTAAACTAGCAATGTGGGACTAAACTTTAGTTCCACCTCTTGCCTTGCATGAATGAGCTGCGTGGGCCTTTAGGATTTATTAGGAATTTCTGAAACTGCTATTGGGCTGGCCAAAATAGACAAAATTCTAGCAATCCCCCACCAGATTCCAGAGGCACACAAAATTTGCCTTTGGTTCCAAAACACTGTTTTATATACCGGCACTACAGTGGAGACTATTAAGTTGAATTTCCACCTAGAACTCTATGCTACACTAGTAAGCAACTTGAACAGTGGACTGGGCCTTGAACTGCAAGTTTTCTGCGAATCTAACTTCACACAAAGCCTTAACCGATACGTGGCTACCGTGGGTCTTCCCCGCGGGTGGAGCTTATGCGTCATACTCCGAGACCTTTCATGGGTTTACTAGAGAGAACCATACTCTCATATATTGCGACGTTTAACAACCAGATTCATATAGGTGCGTTCTTCAAAAGATGTTCTGCAGGACAACATCTCTGCTTCAAAGAGCCACTTAGAACACATTAAGATTTACATCAACCTGCCATGCAGATTAGGAGAGTATTGCATCTTCATGGAGTGGTATTTTAATAGTAAGGGTACTCTCCTCTCAGTTGACCAACAACTTGTCTTCCACATCTAATTCACGGGATCTCCGATCACAAAGAATAGGTTATCACTGTGAACAACTCATATTGTGGGTCTCATACCCATCTCCTTCGATGCATTATCTATTACATTACGTGATAGACCCTTAGTGAAAAGATCTGCCAGATTTTTAGACGTT